GAACAAAATACACCGCAATGAATTACACTTCATTAAAACCTGGTAGTTTACTTGAGATGCAACTGAACCACTACCAAGGGTCGCGAGAGCCCAATATGTACCCATAATTCAGATGTCAAGTAATTAATTGCTAGTAAAGAAAGTACCTGACTTCCTTCCAGTCCGCAAGACTTATAGTGAGCAGCGTTTGTTTTATTTACCACTCTTGAGTTTAAAATGTATCTTCCTGCCGATAAGTACGGGGAAATTGACCAATTAAAAAAAAACCCACGGAGCCTGACTTTCATACAAAAACTCATGCCCCATAGTAACGTGAATACAATGAATTGGGCACAAACACGATAGGCGCTGTTAGGTAATAATCGGAGAATTTTTTGACTTCAAGGATAATACAACAGTTGAAATATCTAGTCTAAACTTTGTGCGATGCAGTTAAAGTGTGCTTGAGCCTTATGCGAATGAGTGTCAGCTTCAGGTTGCGTGCCATTTTGAAGTATTACTGACTAGGTAAGGCGTTAATGAAAACATTCAAATGAGTACACTATTTACGAAAAAATACGGACCGACTTACGCGGATGTTGGAACTCAGTAAGTTCAAAAAATCCGCGTTGGGCATTTTAGTATATTAATTCACAGATGGTCTTCTTTGACTCATGCACCTCGTTTCAAAGCAATTTGACAAAAAACTTACATGGAGGAAGCCATATTGGAGGGTTCGATTATTGCTGCCATTCGTAATGATCACTGAGCCGTTTGCAAGGTTGGTAACAGGGAGTGATTTGTTGTGAAAAGAGTCGTACACTCTTGAATCCTTTATAAGTTGACCTTGAAATTTTTAGAAAATAATCCAAACATTCTATTTTATCAGGGACATAAAAGGAGCATTTAAAAAGCCACCCAAACACTCCTTATACAAAATGATATTTCCATGTAGCAGATTCATAAAGGTTCACTCTATTTCTTCTATGATGCAACTTGGTTATGAAATTCTTGACTGCTTTGATAAAAAACACTATTGAATGTACCATTAGTATGTTTAACGTGAGTCAAAGTGGAATCATTATGCACCGCTGGAAGTTTCAAACATGACGCCAAGAGATCAAACTTTATTTGACAAAAGCAAGAATATTGTTTACACAAAAAAGTACTTTAACGGACACATTAATGGATTTCATTACCGCAAAATGATTTCATTTTTCGTCATTTAAAACTGCGCTTATTAAATGTTTTGCTACCAACTAGTTACTTAACTAGTGCTTACGCTAAAACTAACCTAAAAATTCTTTTACAAAGATTGATAGTATCCTCTATTTACTGGGCTAGATGCCCATGGCCACACAGTGTTGTTTTCGGAAAAAAAACCATTTCAATTAGAAGCGCATTGGCGACTTAATTCAAACAAATGATTTACCGTACAGTGCTAGTCTGACGACCAGAAAAAGTGTTTAAATGCTTTAGATTGCTTTTACTACTGCACACAAATGACCCACCAGTTATAATGCAGAAATATAAGTTATACAAATTCGTTAAGTTACTCCAGAAGCTGACTGTAGAATGCAATGATTCCTTAAAAGGGTCATTTTAAAAAGTCAACTAACAACCGTTTTTTATTATTTGAAAAAAAAAACTTGGAAACTTGTTCAATGTGTGCCTTGGCCTCACATAAGCTCAGCAGTCAGTTTTGAAACACAAAACGGACGTTTAAAAAGCATAGAATAGAATAGAATTAAATTGAATTGAAAGGAATTTTTCTGTAGATTTCAGATCAACTCTTGTGTTAACGGGAATTCTAGCAATCCATGGAACAAAATTAAGACCTTTTATCGCACGAGGCAATAGCACCATACCCAATCTCTCGAAGGCTATGAATTCACTGAGTACCGTCTTTATTCCTACTAATTCTCCAACTTTCAAACAGTCTTCTGCTGGCACACCCATTCCAAAAGCAAGTGGATAGAGTAAATACGCAAATATTAGCTAAAATGTTAAAAAAAACCATCAGAAGTATGGTAGGTGATCCATTATGCAACGTTTACTTGATATTCTTAGTCCACACTATAGCGATTTCTAAGCATACAGAAAATTTGAGTAATTAAATTATAATTAGCTACGAATTGTGGATATCTTGAAAAACCATAGACTAGGTCTGAATATTTTCAAAAATTCCGGTAAAGTTGGTGCGCTTTGATTTTAACAACGCTAAAGAATTCTGGTAGGCCTTGATTTTCCCTAAGCGGTAATTTTAATCAATCTAGGTAGTAATGTAAACCTTAGGAGTAGCATTACAAAAGGAACTTACTTCAAACGTTAGGTCTCTAACCATGCCTATTCGATGTCCAAGCCATGTTAGAATTCTGTTGAAAACACTGAATATACTTAGAAAGGCCATCAAATTAACGATTATTCCAGAGCAAATTGGAATGGCTTCCAGGGCTCCAACTGTTGCAGCCTCGATCGGATTGGTAAAAGGACTGTGATTGAAACCAGCATAAATGAATTTTTGGTTAACAAATATTCAAAATTGCAGAAGTCATGAAAATAGGACAATACTTTGTGGTAGCCAGACAATTTTCACTCATCCCATTTTTAAGTGCAAAATAATGAACATATCAAATATAACACTTGCTTATCAAAGCACTGAAACCTATCTTACTGAATGTAAAGACAATTTAGAATTTACCCTTGGTGCCCCATTGCCATGTTGCATTGGTCATAATCTGCTAATGTTACTAAAAGAAACGTCCACATTTAGTATCGTAGTTATAACCAAGCCATTAGGGAAGATATAAACTAAGTAATGCGACTTTGATGCACGAAATTTGCCGACAAGAGTCTTTTGGGCCTCTTGCCAATGTTTGGTCTTGTTTATCGAGCACTTCATTTGCCTTCCATTGACATATTTTTATATCTAATAGGCTAATTTTTAAGTAACTTTCCGCTGAGGTAAACAATTGTTGGCATAGAAATAACTTGTTATCAAACTTTCTCAATTTGGGTTTACAGTGGGTCACGAAGCTAGACTGCAAATATATACCATTATACAAAAGAAAATGGTTTCTTGTTATTCTAGTCTGATAGATTTCCATTAAATTCAGAACACGAATCCATAGAGAGGATTTCTCGGTTCGCCCAAAAAAATATGCAAATCCACAGGAAACATCTCCAGAATTAGGAAATTTTTACTAGACTTCTCGATGTCAAGGCCTTAAGCATTACCCAACAGCGTCAACAAAAGCCGGAGGTATCATTAGGGCAGTCCAAAGGATCCGTACTCAAACATGAGGTAACCGCCACACATATTCGGGGTACAATTTCGATTCGTAAATAATCACACTACTAATCATTATGGGAGTATGAGCCCTAATTCCAGAGTATGAGAATGTTTTCGATGCACATCGTACCTGAATTCCAAAGGCCAACTAAAAAGTAAAATTCAAATAACTTAAATTAACCTTAAGTGCCATTCTCCTATTTTTTTGCAATAATTATTTTAATAACGCAGCTAATCAGATTGCATTTCCCTAAATAATCAAAGTCATCGTCCATATTTTTTTAGCTTTTCTTTACAATATTTTTGCATCTGTGACTACGAAATTTGTAGGAATGAATAAAGATCGTCTTGACATCTTCATTGTTTGCATGTTAATTATATGCCAACTGTTGGATGTGAGGTTATAGAAAATTTTGCTTTTCGCAAACACAATCACTTTTGTCGCCTAAAAGGGTAAATAGTTAACTTCCTCCCCTTCCCTTTTTCCACGATCTTATTATTGCTAAGAATAGACGCAATAAATTTCAATGACAAAGTCATTACTTAGACTAGTTATTTGGGATCGCCTTTATGCATCAGTACATTGCTGCATAAGTGAGCAATCAAAAAAGCATGTTCGTAGTAATCTCAAACAGGTATCAACCCTAACCAAATCATCAAGCTTTATATTTAGAAATCGCCGAATGTATTTTAGTCTATACCAGATTTTAATAAAACCATGTTCCGACGACAAGCCAATTCATCATACTCATATATAAAGTAAGTTTATTCCTTCCAAACTGACTACTGGACAAATGATTATATGAAGCTTGATTTTATTAGTCTCCAGGTCTGGAACTCAAGGCAGGAATACCGAGTGTGTGTGTGAAAAGGCTATTTTTAACCCTAACTTTAAAAAAGCTGTCAATAGAACACGTTTGGAGTCAGCAGCTGCGTCCAAGCTATTAATGTCATTATAGTATAAATGGCCCCAGTTAAACAAATCACGAAGCCTTAACTTCTAGCACTTATATTTTCGACGTTAGTGTGGCTTCTGTGTAACTTTATTCAAAGTAGCGCAATTATAATCTCTGAGTAATCGTCCTTTCCAGTGACTACAATGAACCGAACACTATATATAATAACTCATATTAAACAAATTCAAACTTAAGTGCATTTACGGTTCCAAATGTATTAATATTTGTTAGGGTTCACATATGTCGCTCACCACATTTTGGGACACATTACTTTTTTTCAGTTTTGCGATGCTTAATAACATTTGTATGACTTTAGCCAAATGCATTTAGTTCTATTAAGTGGTGCGTTTGGGGTACAACAAAAAACCTTTTTGGTCACACTTTTATAATCAAACATTATTTTGTTTACATTGGCCTTACATGAAGCATAAAACAACAATTAATAGGACATTGGAAATAAGCGGAGTGGATATTCGACAGATATATAAATGTTTGGATTAGATTCACTTTTCTAAAGTCGAAACACGGGTGCACTACTTCTAACTAAGGAGGACTGAAGAGATAGTGAAGATTTAAAGGTATCAACCTCCAAAGAGTTAGTTTGATGCAAATAATAGCAAAAATCCTAGAGCATATTCTTGCTTTAAAGCTCTTTATATTAAGGGGCAGTAACTGAGAAGTAGCATTCGATTGGGGATCACAAGTTTCTGCGACTGCATGGATAAATTTTGCAAAACGAAACAACATTTAATTGCTGGGTAGTTCATTTACCTGGAATAGAGGGCACTGTCGGTTCCTTTGGCAAGTGGAGCCAATTTAGTCTCTGGGTAGAGGATCTTGGCAATAGCCAATGCAGCTGGAGCAGACATCACACATGCTATTAGAAGATGATTCGCCGGAACCTTATAAAAAATCAACGCTTTGTAGATCACATTTCAAGTTGATAAGTTGGTTAAGATTTCAAAGATTGTGTGTTATGGCAAGCCATGTTGGCTTCTTCGCTGTTTCTACACTGCAGTTACTTTTTGGCAAAAGGCCTTAGCTACCGCCGTTAATTATCTTAGAAGTCACCTGTAAATGCAATTTTATTAAATCCATGACTTACCCCGAAATTTATGTAAACCACCATTACAGGACCTGCAATGGATGCAAAACCATTCACCATTATGGCGTGCAGCTCCGAGTTCGTCATCTGTGTCATGTAGGGTTTGATCAACAACGGGGCTTCGTTCTGGTACAGCGTAAAGGGAAGACATTAAGTGTCAACGTCGGTTATTAATCTCCAAGATATTTTGACGTCTTTGAGTGGTAAAGGGCAAAACATGATCCATAAATATTACAAAAAATCACTATAGTTCATTGGTGGCATATTTAAATTGCATTAAAGTTGTTTTAAAGTTGTATTGAAAAGGAGAACTCGGACTGTAAGTAGTAATTTTCTGGTATTCTTTCAAATGTTTTAACACGCTGCTGAGCAAAAACAATGTGGTTTTAGAACTGGCAGTTGATAGAGAACTTTGGCCGTAATGCTATTTGCTTATAGTTTTTCACACAAACCAGAAGTTAATCGCCATTAAATACTTTGTTATTTCACTTTTAAAAGATTTTTTACGATTTTTTGAACAACCTGACTTCTCGGACGACAAAATTATTAGCCATTTCTCCACGCGGGAATATAAAACAGAATTCTGATCACAAAATATCACAGAACATAATAAACACAGATTTCCGACCACGTATCTTTTGTACTACTTACGTACTCAGCATTGCCAGATTAATGGTATTTAAGCTAGCAGGAACACAATTTTTTGAAGCGAATGCCATAATGGTGCCTTCTTTGGAAAAAGGCATAAAACCATTCATTTTTAACATTACATATATTTGTACCAAATATTTCTCATTTATACTAAGACTGTTGGAGATGAGTAAAGTCGTGATCACTAAATTTCTAACAGAAGCATGCACTTTTGGTAATTATAAAGCAAAAGTGTCTGGTGGTTGTGGCAAAAACATGGGGCCTAAAAGGACAAATTCAAAACTCTTGGGAGTATGCGTTAGTGTGGCTACCTTTGAGCTTCTTAAAAGTGAAAAATCATGCACAACAGTCAGTCAGTTGAATGAACAAATTTTGGCACAGGCATTTCATCAAATTAATCATTGTAAAAGATTTGTCATTAACTTAAAGAGTCACTGTAAAAAAATATCATTCGTTGCTTTACATTATGCCAATGCAAATCACACATTGTTAAGGGGCCACGTGGGCATATACCATGGAGAGGAAAATGTTTGTGAGAGCATTAACCGTCTCAGGCCCGGTTGTCCCCATTATATGGCGAAAGTAATTGGATGGCTTGATGATGAATTTTTGAACCCATCCCAGATGGAACATAATTGAAATAAACGCAGAAAAGAACACAACCAGGGGTAAAACCTAAAAACAAAAAAAAAAGATCTGATGTCCTAGGTTGCAAAAGTCACCATAATTTAGCAGGTGTCACCAAATTAGACATTTCCCAATGTCATACTATTTTACGTTCATCACAACCCCTCTTACTAGATTCTTAAACACTGAGGGTGGCGAATTTTGAGGGTTAACAAGTTATTCTTGCGCCAATCAATCGTAACGAAAAGCTACTGTACGTCTATTTATCCAAGCATGTTTTTTATTTGAAATCTGGTATATTGTACCAAAGAATGGACTTCAAGATTTTCTGCGCTTAGGAAATATCGTTGCTATGTGGTCAGATTTCGGCTGCATCATGCTTTACTTAGTTTCTCGGAGATGAGGACAAATTATTTGTGTGAAACGCGTGTATTAGCATTTCAAGGCTGTATATTATTCAAATTATGCAAATTACTGATGCGTTCCTACAGCAACTAACTTGTCCTAAAGTAACTCGAAAATATATAGGTGAATCAAGCCAGTTTGCTAGAGTGGTGCGTACAAAGTTACTGCTACCCGAGAATAGAGTCTGTTACTATAGCACGAGCTTTGAAGTCGAAGAATCTCAAGCTAACGTTTCATTAAGGAAGTAAACTTTTAATTCCCTAGAATATTTGTATTGCACAAACTACTGTTGCGGATGCTTCGTGGATGAGAAATAGCTAGTAGATACCAAGCAGAAAACCCGCTTGCTTTCACGACTGGAAAGTAACAGTTGGATCACACTGTTTAATCATTTTAGTTTAATCCGCTATGTAAACGTTTATTTATTTGATTACTAAATGGGCATATTTAGTGCATTTTTACATTGGTTCCCAGAGTCAGTGATAACTTGTGGATAAGCAAATTATTGAAAAAAACCAAAATTCTACCTGTATGACAAAGCATCTGGTCTCAATCAGGTCGCCAAAAACAAACGAAGCTCCAACTTTGCTGTTCTCCATTAGAGCCGACGTCTGAGCCCCGATAAAATCAAAAACTGCATACCCGGGTTTCGTTTGTAGTGTGACGACAGCAAAGGTAAACTGGATGAAGAATCCCATAAGAACTGGTTGCCAGTTAATCTAGAATATTAGGCAAATGTAGGAATTATCAGTTGAAATCGATTTAACTCAAACTACGCTAATCCATATAATTTAAGATCCGGTTCTTGTAATCACAATTTCAGTACCTTTAAAAGTCTCTACTATAAACTATATGTGACAACACATTTATTTGTTTTTTTGTGTTTAGTGTGGACAGCATAATGCATACAATTAAAGGGCTTCATGATTTTAAAGCTTTGGATGCGTTGGTTTATGGCTGTCCAACTGCAAAAGCGAAATTAATCGCATTTTTATCAAGGCTCTACTGACTGCTGCTTGAGCTCTCATCTACGTTAGATCTTCAGTTGGTGCAGGGGGCAGATCTTGATTTAAAGTGACCCAAAATTTAAAATTAGATATCAATCGATATCTCAAGTGACTATCCAAGTCTGTAGTTCTACTCCAAAATTATAAGCATTCGTTCACAACCCTATGGTGTAGTTTCAAGATGCTAAGTTTCAAAATACTTCATGTTTCACAATAATAATCACATTCATTTCGTCACACAAATCGGGCTTCAGAAAATCGGGCGCTTGCATTGTCAATAAAATTTATTTGATCAAGATACGGTGGCTGGCTGTAACTAACTGCATTTTTATCTGCGTCAGTAGAATAGTTAGGAATTGTCTAGAGTTCCGTTTATCATGCAGTGTTGTGGCCTTCATTCAAACAAATGGATCTACTCCGAATTCGAGAGTTTTGGCTGTGCGCTGCGCGTTTCTCTTGTCACAAAATCCAGACTATCCAATACTTGGTAAAATTTAGGTCTAAATTAAAATCGTCGATTTTCAGCACGTTTCTTCCCTTGTGAATTATGAATTGATGCAAAAACAGTGCCTACCTTCAACGGGTGAACCGACATAAGCACGCATATTAGTACCATTGCTCCGATGCCGATAAGAGAAATGAGGTTCTTCGGATTTCTCATGACAACAAAGAAGATGAGGTAGAGCACTGCGATTAGACACAACATAACCACCAACGCGCTGAAAGGCAAATGTGGTTATTCCCACTATTTTTGCTAGTTTGCCATGCCAATTTTATGAAAACAGACATCTCTTAATGAACACGTACTCAAAGCCCCGACGTTAAAGCTGACTTACATTGTCTTGATTGATCAAAGTCATGTACCGTACATAAACGATGGATATTTACACCCAATTCCTTCAACATTTTTATGATTGAAAGTTGCGTCTTTGAGAGCCTCCATCAATTGTGATCAAAAGTGAAATAGAATTCGAAAGATTGAATTCCCTCATAAAAGTTTGTTGAAAGTCTGATTTGCAAGCAAATTTAAGCCCTAAGGAGTTATGACACTTCCACGACTCATCAGATATTAATAAAACAGGCTGTATAGACTCTTTTCGTTATGATGATCCAACCAAACTAATAAATTACGTGAGTTCGATGTTAAAATCTATGTATTCGAGATTAGCCATACTTCAAGTTGCGCAAAATTTATTGAAATAGTTTTTTACGTCAACACTTATTATTGCATGAGGTTCAGATAATTGATAATGAATTCGGTGTAAAATCGGTATAAGTTAAAATAAATTTGTGACTTTTAATGGACCTGATGTTTTCTATCCAAAATTGGCACTCACATGACACAGACACCATTTTTTGTGTTAAATACCTTAATTATTTTTTTAAAAAAACGCTTACATTTTCCCAACTCGCTTACGCGATCTTGGGGAATCTTCTATGCAGCACATGCCCGTGAATTTCAACCAAGAAATCAAAACCCATTTACTTGTCCCATGGAATTTCTTTGAAAGTTTCTCTCGAAAATGGACGAATATTTGGAATCCACGTCTTCGTTCTTTGCCTAGTATAAGAAGCTTTTTGGAAATCATTATGACAAGCAATATCCAAAATAGAATTGATATCCAGAGAAGTCTGATATCAGCTTCCGTAGCCAGTCGACGCACTTTTACGGCATAGGCTACATAAGCAATATCTGCACAGAGAATAATGATTAGCATCAATAGGTCTCTGATGCCTTCCGACGACGACACTTCCGGTAACTCCACATTATTAAGGTCACATTTTTCATGAGTAAATAAACGAGCACGTAAGTTTGCGTAAGCATTAAGAAGTCTACACGGGATTCTAGTTGACTGGTTCTGAATTTCTGGGAAGTCGCATTCTGTCCACTTGCAGGCAGGTTTTGTCAAAGGGCCTGAGGCCTCTTCAAGGAGTCCCTGATCAATTTGTCTCAGCGGTTGAGCCTCTTCATGTTGAAGTTCCTGTCCACTGGTCTAGGATTTAAGACAAGAGCATTTTTGATGATTCATGCATTTTATTGGAAAAAAATGTGACGATGCTTCACAACTCCTGTCTAGACGTTGTTGTTGTTGTTGCAATTTTTCCACTGTTGCTTATTTATGGCCCATGAATTTTCGCTATGTACTTACGTACACGCCTTGATAAATGGCACGAAAGCCCTCGTAATGACTTTGCTTCCGCCTATCCTTCAGCGCAGTCTCGGAGAGTCACTGCTCAGGTTTTCCGGAAATAAGTGCTGGGTTTTCGAATGCCCCAAAGAACCTGAACTCTGACGATATGGCCACAGATTATCCACAGGGCTTCGTGAACATCGCAGGAATAGTAAATACAAGGGTGCAGTGTGCTTTTCCAGATTACTTGAATCCTGCTAAGTTAAGTATTAAACACGAAAGAATTTAGGTGTTATGTTGATTGACTAAATGTTTGAGGCAATACTCCACGGCAACACTTTAATTCATAATAGTGATTGCACAAAAACATCTCAAGATTCTTAAATTCTTTAAATATAGGTAAATATTTTCATACCCCGGACTTGGTGTTATGGTGGCTTATCATTTATTGCTTATGGTAGCTTATGCTTATACAAGTAGCCAAATTCCCATAACGAGTACTCCAAACGCTAATTTTGATTGGTTGTTTCCGTAAGCTATTGTTGTCCTTACATGTAATCTGGTGATTGGCTGGCTTGATTTAAACACACTTAATCTAATTTTGTATAGATTTCATTTATTTGTGTTGAATGAATGTTAAAAGAGTAATTAACTCAGCTTTTAATTTACTTGTGATACTGTTAATACTGTTCTTTAGCTCCAAATTCAACATACGTCACTGCGCAACCAGGCTTAGCAGGATCCACTCTGCCACTTATTCCACGTAGGATAAAAGCTACGCAGCTTAATTCATTCTGATTTGCTCTGATTGAATTATATTTTAACAGACATTCTTATTACAAACGATATCTCGTCACTGCTATCAAGTTTAGTTGTCCTAATACGAACTTGCAGAATCGCTTCTTCTGGTTAATTTGCTGCTTAGAAGGCTCAGCTTTAAAAATAAAAGTTTTCCATAAAAGATACTGACTCTTGAGTGAGTTTGAAATTCGCATTCAGACAGTAGTTTTACCGAACGAAATTAATGCTAATATCTAAGCCAACATTTTAACTAACAAATATTGCAATATTAAGGTGGGCTAATTATGTTGCCTCTCTTAATTAAATTTCACATATATTATGCTCAGTTTATCTTAAAAATATCAGTTTTGCCATTATCCTCAAAATTTCAAAATCACACTGGCCTTTAACTGGCCTCAAGCCGCTGAGGCTTTCTTTGCTAACTATTCCAGACTCCGCAAGTGTCAAGCTTTCATCTACGGAGAACGTCGCTAATGATTTGTCTGCAGTATTCTGAATTATCAGTCAACAACAAATTGACTGCAGCATAGTCAAAAAGGCAGGATCTGCTTACGTCGATGGTAGGCTGGGACTGTCAAAACTGCTACTATGTAGCCAGTTTTAAACCTCTAGTAAATTAGCCCATGACTTCAAATGTCATTGATTACTCATTTATAAATTTTTACACTGCAGAGGTATGAGATTTAAATGCCTATCGTCTCATATTTCTTGTGTAATAACCCACTGAGTTTCCTTCGAATGCGTCAAGCCAGGACAGTGAGACTGGTGCTACATGAGACTTAGAGACACCATAGTCTTGTCATTGCAATGTCACCTAGTTTTTGCAGTACCGATTTCACATTCTGTAGCTCAAGAAGCTATTAACATTTGATGACTTATTTTTAACTCTCATGAACTACTTATTTACTGAATCAATTTCTGTACTCTTCGCATCTAAAAAGGTAAGCAAAGGAGATTTGAAACAGTTTCACATAGATTAGTTTTAAGGCACTTGATCTTAACAGTCTGCAACCATGTACGGCTTCTTAAATTCCATTCGACACCTAATTTCCTGATTTTTCCGTTTGAAATTTTTTAAAGTCTTTCCGTGTTCTCAACTTTCAGGCATTTAAAGTGATCGAGCGTTAGTTTGCTACCGAGTTTGTGTCTGTCAAAAATGAGACTTGAAAGCAAGTTGTTTGCCCACAAATGTTTTAAAGAAAGTTTGCATTGGATCTATAAAATCAACCAAAACGTCTTAACCAGAGCAAATTCACATTGCTTAAACTAGATGACTTGGTCTCAAAGCTTTTAAATATACGCGGTTTTTTTCACTTTTCTGGGAGCAAGTAATTATATAGAAACTTGAAAAAATGTTTTAAGTTAAGCTTTCAGTGTGGATTAAATTAAGTGATCAAAAATAGACCATAAAGGGGCTATTATGGGAATGTGCATTAATTATGTATTTCCAGAGGGATCAAAGCCTTAGAAATTGACGGCTTTTTCTGGAATCATGAGCCAGCTAAACATCAGAGAGTCTTTCTGAAAAGCAAAAAAAATAAATCAGCTGATAATGTTAGTCCGATAAGATTTGTTTGTGCAAGTTAAAGAATAAATTAGAAGCAGCAATTAGCAAAAATGATGTTAATTATTTTTTTTGTAAGGTTGTCTTAAAACGACTTAGTAGATGGGACCTCTTCTTATAAATAAACCAGAAATCTTGCTATTTAAAGCTTTATTACCTTTGTTCGAAAACTGCACCACATAAACTCCCTAGTGCCCTCTATATTATGCAGAAGGCTGCTAAAGGAAAGGTGTTTAACTCAAATTAATCCTTGTTCCCAGTAGTAAAAATATCAAGAAGCCCAAATTTCTTGATATTTTGCATTTTACTTCTGCAAGATTTGTCATCTAGCAAAAGCTATACAAATTGTTATCAATAAAATAATTGTCATTATTATTATTATTATTAAAATATGTTGAGCCTATTCACCGCACTATTAGGCCAGCTAAAATACTTCTTTTGGTTCTTCCGACCTGTCCAAAGATGCAAATAGCCATTTTTGTCACCTGATATTTCAGATGCCAAGTATAAAAAGGGTTCTTTGTGAAAATGGAAAACGACCACAACCAAGCACTGGCGTTTAGAGGGCCATTCTATGTATTTACACTCAATGCAGCCTACAAAACTCTTTATTCAAAAGCCAATCAGTTGCTACTATTTTTTTTTCAGAACTCAACACAAAGAACTAATACAGTCACAAATTACGGATAAGGAATACCTATACTGCACTTCAATACAGTCTGCATTAACGACTACAAGCAAGAAAAGCGACATGCTTTTGTACTGACTCGTTTTAGTTAAAACGGAACGACAAGATGGGTAACGGCAAATGCAAAGTTCAGGTCTGATCTACAGGGTATTCGAAGATAAGGTAGCCCGCGAATGTTGAGTACATATAACCATGGAGGTAGAATGCCGATTCTCTGAGTTGAAGCCAGGTGCAGTCATTTTTTTTCATTGTCAGAATCGCCTGGTTAGTTGCCGTTGACCAGGGAGAGCTGTCGCTCCACACGTCGAAGATATGGTTGTCATTGTGCATCAAGCGGACTGCCGCCTACAACGGACTTATATAATGGGTACTGCTAACAGTAAAGTAGCAAGTAATTAAAAGTGGTGTGTGAACGGACACACGCGCCTTGGCAAAAGGTCCTGACTATAACACAATGTAGATGAACTTATTAAAACCAAATTGCCTTTAAGTCGAGTTTACTAGCCTAAGATGCTGCAAAAATTTGTTGCAATGTTCATTCCTTTCCACAGAGCATTTACATTTTTTCAGTGATTTTACAAAACGACTTCCTATTATCATTTCATCTAAACCAGAATCATGCCTTGCTTAAATAATGATCACAACGTTTTCTTATTCCTGCTTTTCAAAGCATAAAGCTGTTTTATTAACGCGGGAGTTTTGCTAAGTTCTTCTTTGTTTGGCGAATTATTGAACAACTGACCAATAAAGAGCCAGATTTCTATAATTGTACTAGTTAAGAAGTTGTATTCATTATCGGCTGCCATGAGTACAATAGCCAAAGTGATATTAAAGATTCCCAAGAAAAACACATTTTCTGCTTAGCTGCAGTAAATGGTTATGGTCAAATTAAGTTTTAAGTGCAAAATATGTATTTATGCTAATAGCAAAAAAATCTAACTCTGTTTCCTGTTTTCTCTATGTGGGTAATGCAAATTTTAAATTCGGTGATTCCGTGCCGATTCCAACTAAGTTTTTTTAACGAGTTGATAAATGCAGTGTCGTCCTAAGGAGATTATTTCAAAATCACTTTAACTTGTCTTAAATTACATTACTACAGATAATTAATTTTTGATTTTTACATACGAAGAAAATTACTTCAATAAGCGTGAAGGTAGTGGCATGAATATGATTGTGTGTAAGTTTAAATGTCACATTACTGCTTTGTTTTGGCAGGGTTGATTTCATTGCGCAAAATGACTAAATAAGAACCTACAATTCATGCTCATACATGCCTGCGAAATACTGAAGTCTACTTAAATCTTTCTTCTTGAAAGTCCAATAATGAAGTTTCACATTTTTTTATAATTCACAGTCTTGCCTGCTTTCTACCCTGTGCAGAGATGGTAACTAGGAAAGAGTAAACACCGTCGACTGGGGCACAGAATTGGCCCTTAGTTGGGTCGTATGCCTTGCCCACGTTCGTCAAGACGTGCGTCATGACCACGCGTTGACCTGGTGGCATCTCTTCAATGTTTGGCTGGAGTCCGGCAAAGAAAGCCACTCTTTGTTGGCGGTTTCGCAAGTGGTTGGCCACCCCGCGCAGCGCACTAGAGCTCGTCACTGCTCCTGTTTTAAACAAAACGATAACGATAACAAGTTTTTGGATTATCTTCCTAAAATTCAACCGATCGTATGTCGATTCATAATTCTACTAGCTGGAAAAAGCTTGACTGTGTCATTGTCGTCCTGCTATCTCGTGCTTTATTTGACGCATGAAACCAACCCAGAACCCACAGAATATTGTCATTTGTTACTACGAGTTTCGTGATAATTCGGTTAAGAGCAATCTCAGTCAGTATGCGGTTACATTTACTCGAAGTATTTTTTCCTGAGTTTATAGATATACAAATAAAGAAAGTGTTTTTTGACAAAAATGCTGCTTACATATCATTCGCACATTTGGTACTTATGTTTCTAACCAAGAAAATGCACTTATTTTAGGAAAACTGTGAGCATTTCAGATTGGATTCTTTCATATTAGGCCATAACAAATAACATTAGAAGTTAAAATAGAGACTCTAAGTGTTTTATAAAATGCTAATATTTTATGATCGTGTACTCATGTCGAACAAATGAGACTTCCATGAAACAAATTCAATTTTTTCACTCTTCACAATACAGATACTCATTAAATTTTTAATTTGTGATAAAAATTTTCATCACTGAATAAGTTACTAGGGCAATCTTTTTCTGTATCCAGCATTAAAACAGCTCGCTCAAATCCAATTAATATTTTACCAAACTTTTTAAATTTCGTTAAGTTAGAATCAACTGTTGAAAGCACCATTTGAAAAACAGCCGCATTTTATTTAATTTTGAAGTGTCTTCAACTTTTGAAAGGCGCGTTACGCCAGACCATTTTGCCTTGATTCGTAAAACTTCAAAGTAACTGCGCCACTTCACTTTTACGGAAATAATTGCTTTTTTGCAAACAATACTGAAGCAAAAATTTATCATTATGGCCCTACCAACGAGAGGTCTGAATGAGGTCAAAGTAGTCAGAAAGATCAACTGTCAAGATATGGCAAAATAGGTGGCCACATGTACTTTATCAATCTTAGCAAAAATGATTTCTTAGGCACTAACAAAATAGATATTTTCAGGAGTCAAATTGCCTTTTGGTTGAGCTCGATAACTGCTGTAACTTGCTCTGTCGTTATTTGTCTCAAAACAGTCGCGAAAATGATTTAGAGCTTGATTGCGTGAGAACGCCTATGTGCACACGCGGAAACGATATTAAAGTAATATCTTGGTGATCCAAGAAGATTCATCACAAATCTTGGAGTCCTTTGCACTGCCAGGCAAACCTTGAAAGCAGCGGTCATGGTTGTGCTGAAATCCTTTTACTTTTGAAAACACATTTATTAATATTCCAGCTATGCGTATTTTGCAAATACACTTATTTAAACTTATAGTTGGATTTCATTCGTTGACGATTTCCATGGATCAATTTTGTTTCGCTTAATACCACTGTGATACTTGGACACTGGCATCAACGATTTACTAGGCTTTTAGAGCATCGTGTTTTTGTTAAAAATTAAAATGTCTTCCAGTACCCCTTGTGGCACAAATTTGAACGGAAGGAAAAAACCACTTTCATCTTCAAACGTAGCAGGTTCTCCGTGCCTGTTGACCATTTTAAAGGACATTTAAACAAACCATGTAAGTAGCAAACATCGTTATAGAATGATGTTTACTTGTATTTAGGTCAAAATTAAAGTCCCAGTCACTTGTTCCTAGAATTGGTTTTTGTTTACATCTATCATTTTAACAGAGGTTTCATGAAGCAAGTTCCTGTTTTAATTAATTGCAAAATAAAAGTCAATGGTTTGCTTTTTTGAAAACACATCGATCATCAACTGTGTCCTGCTTTTCCATCCTCTTCGTGATTACAGACGACACGTTTATCTTTTAAAATTAGCATTTCTAGATTCCCTTTTCCAATGTAATTAACCCATAACTGTGCCAAAAAGTTCAAAATGCACGGGACGTTATGAAAGTATAACCAACTTAGGCAACGTTAGTTGTTAAATGAAATTGTTTACTTCTCACTATGCCATAAGTTTGCGAACGTAAAGGCCAGTTTAGGGTAGATTCATTGATATTTGTAACCGTAAAATAAACACGATTTTAGCATAAACATGATAATTCGGTTAGAACTCAGAAACAAATGACATGCTTGACGAAAATAAAGGCTTAAAAATCCAACATATGATGTGCTTTTGTGTGTTTAAATCTTTTATGGGTGGTTAATGTAGTGAAAAATACTCCTAATTTTGAGTTTCTAATTACCATGTCAAAATGCTCATTTACTTGATCACAAGACGAGCAGTGGAGTCCATTTTCATGAGGCCAAAAACTTGTGCACCTGGTAATTGCAAATAACATTTTACATGTTCATTTAATATTAGGGTAGAAAAGGGTAGAAAAACTGACGAAAGCCGAAATTCAACGTGTATTCACTTTAAGAAGTGACGTGAACACAACTGACTCAAAAATTACCCTCTGAGGGAACTATTAGTAATAACAATCAAGGTAGGTAATTATGGTTAAATTAGCACTGAAAGCATTACAAGCCGGAATATTTACTAAAGCACACCACCTTAAGTGACAATGATGACTGACAGATCTTAGAAAACCATTGTGTACCAACTTTGCAAGTTTGACTGTGGGCCTAAAATGCAGGATGAAGATATTTTGAGGTACCGGTTATCGATATCTGATTAATTTCCAAAATATAGCTTACATTAAAAAATGTGGACATAAAGTAAAAATTACCGAACCAAAATGAAACGCGGACAGAAAAGTCGTCGGGAAACGCCCACCAGTAACCTGGCACCTGACGGATTCATTCTTTTGATTATGTTTTGATTTTTATTTAGCATTACTGGAAGAGCATCGTGTGTCACGAGCTGCTTTCACAAGTCACACAACTGATGCTATCACGTGTCACGCCTGACGGCTGCTTTGAGAGCAACAATGCATAAACGGCCACAAAATCTAGGCTTGTATAATACCAAGCTTGACCAAGACAACGACGTCCCTGGTTTGTGTGCAGCTACTAGTTTAACTTCGACCTCTTTCAGTGGCACTTTGTCCGTCTAATTTAGCACCAACAGACTGCCATTTATGTTGTGCAAGAAAGTGCTCCAGTTTCTCTGCTGGCCTACGGAGAGTGTAAAAGTAGGGAACAGTTTTCCAAATAGCCCTTTTTAAGTATTCAATGAAATTTAAGGATTTTCAAAAAACTGATTTGTAACTTTAGTCTGGTAACATTGCTCGTATTTCGGTGTATGATTTAATTGCAGTGAAAAAATGAAATATATTTAATTAAACCCGATAAATAGATTCACGTGAGATGATTAAGAGGTCGTGGCACAAGCTGCATCAAGAACCATTCGCTCCGTTAGCGAGATGATTTTGCCATTTTTAAACCACGTAAATTAACTAAGTGCAAGAACTCTAATATTGTGATTGTTCGCATATGGTGCACAAGTGAATAGCTTGTGTTCGCTGTTTTATTTTGTAGGTGAATGTACAATAGTTCTGGTGTAGAAAGCAGTTTGTGTCCAGGGAGGGAATTACGCATTGTTTTGTGCAACGACTTGTAAATGCAGAGACGTTGAAATCAGCAGAGTATGTACATGGAGAATTAGATTGCGTGGTCTCAAAAAAATATCTCCAAAATCAATCCACAAGCCAAAATCAGTAACATTTGAGGCTCAAGTAGAAAATCGACTGAGTTCCCGTCGTGTTCACCCCGGTAGCCGAATAAGTTCATTCGTCTTGTGTTGTCCTGAAGATTACTATGCCATGAATTAAGGTATTCTGGAGAGCGAAATTGGGCTGAGTAGGGAGCAGGCATGGGTCGAAAGATGGTCTCATTCACCAAGCGCTGCTGAAAGGCCTCCCAAATTTCTTCGGCTGTTGTTCCTTCAATCAAATCCCAGTCGATGACAATTCCAACTGAGCTGGAAATTAATTCAGGCACTATACTTTCAAGAGTGACGCAATACTGTGCCCTTGATGTATTCGGCTTTGCAATTTCAATGGAACAATCACCTGCAAAGTCTTCGAGAGTTGCTAAACGGTCGCTGAAGCCATAATTGCCCACTTGGAGTTCAAGAACATGGATGTCTTCATATTCTGTTTGTTCCTCCAATTTCCAGACAATTGGACTTCGTTCAGTTATGAAGTCTTGGCGGTTCTGGTGAGTCTCACGCTTCCGTACGTGGTCGTCTGAAGCGAAAGACGGAAGATGTATCAGTAGCGGAGGGGAAGGGGAATGTGTAGTGGGGTAGCTGGTTCACTAGAACTGAATCTATGTCAACAGGGAATCGTTCAGAAGTGTACAGGCACAAACATTTAGCTCAAGCTGAAACATCAACAAAAGTTATCAGTTGCTTTTCACTTTATTTGATTAATTGTGAGGAAACACTAAAATGTGAGACACTAAAGTAGCTGAAAAATGTCAAATCAGGTTCAGGAATTTGAAATGGGGAAAGTTGTTGTGGATGTGGACGTCTGTTACAGTATCTTGGGCACATGCCTCAACCCTGGTTGACTTCAACTTAGGCCTGCCTTATTCACTTGATTTTTGTTCTAAATTCCCTTAGCTCCAGAAATGTCATATGTGGTAAAGAAATTCATTGCATCAACTTCTTCACTGTACCTCAGCTTATATATACATGATAATTCTGCACATTGGTTATCAAAAGGCAAAGTAGGATGTCCGTAGAGCATTTTGTGCGTGTTGACAAAATCCCACTTCAATTTACCAATCGGAGACGCTAATGAACGCAACAAAGCCTAAATTGACGTATACTTTAGTCTTAATTGTGTGCTAATGTATCTCAAGAAGAATGCCATTCTCTACAAGCCTCACCAGAACTACGGTTCACAATTTTGGCTTTTGCAGTCAAAAATAAACCCCAACCAGCAAAGTAGTCATGTCCAGGATTCGCCTAGGTGACGAAGTTTTTTTGAGGCAGAGTTAGGCCCTAATATTTGGGTTTTTTGAGGTTGCAGAGTAAAACTATCATTTTATTCTGCAATATGTCCACCAAAAATGATCTACATATTCGACGAGATAATTATAATAGTGATTATACTTTGAATATTTTTATCAAGCTGTTCAAATTCAACTGGTTGTTGAGTGTTTAGGTAATGGGTAAATTCTCACGCTGCTGCACGGGTGCCTACACAGGAAGACACTTGTCTTGTCCTTTTTAACGCTAAACTGCAAATTTAAACAACAGTGACCTAGTATTTTGCCTTACATAAGAATGATATTCATCTTTTGCCATAAAGATTTCATCAGTGGCTTCAATCGCTGCAAAAAGATGTTTGGTTAAGTTTCATTCAGGTTGGTGTGAAATTAAAGATCACTCAAAGTGCAGGGTGGTCCAGGGAATGACACATTCACTCAATCTGATGTAGGTGAGCAGGCTGAAAAATATGTTGACTTTTTAAGACACCTTTGTAAATGTCATTCCATAAAGACCAATTTCCTTTTTCCTAAAATGTAGGTTTCGACTTGGACAAATGATCAAAGCGACGCTATTCTTTTCACCCACACACACTCATTAACAAAAATACAACTAAAACATTGTGGATAGTAGCAAGAGAGCACAGTTAGCATTCGTAAGCGAACGCGGTTAGCAAGCGTGCGCGACCACGATTCAATCGATTGTCGTGAATACACTTCACCCAACTACGTGCGTTTAGAGAGTGATGCTTAGCTAAGCTATTTAAACGCACTTATTATCCTGCACATCTACACTTTCCCGCTCTTCTTTCGGTCGGGCCTTGTCAGTGTATATCGCCGGCCCTGGTGTGGTTCGCAAAACCGCACAGGAGCCCGCTACAATATCATGATGTGATGCTTATACTAACTCGAGTATTCTAAATTGTAATGGCAAAACAAGATGAGGGCATTTACCACTTGCGATGTGGCAAAATATCAAAAAGGCCTGACTCCGTAGGTGACCTGTATTTAGTTACCTAAGACCTGTTTCACAGAGCAAATTTGGTGGCAGATTTGTTAGGACAGGGTAGCAAAAAACTTAGAGAATGTAATTGCTTTGACCAACGTCTATAACTTAAGGCACATCTCAAAAATTGAATTAGTAGAACATTAATTTATGAATTACAAAGCCATCAAGCAATAAGGAAGGAATAAAAACCCAAAATGATCCATAGAATGTCATGTTAGCAAAACTGAGCGATGCTTAAATGAAAGGCACTCGGAAGGTTAGTCTTTGTTGGCAGTCCGATTCAGGGGGAATTGTGGATGGAGATTAGTATCCATAGGAAACTCGACACACATGAAAACATGCATAAAGTTGGTCGTCCATAGGCTGATTGAAGAGTATTGCTAACTTTCTCAGTTCCTAGTATTGGGAGGACGCTATGCTTAGATCTCTGTGATCAGTAACAACTTGTGTCATTGAAATTAGTAATTTTGTTGGTAGAATTGATGGATTAACGTCATTCTTATTTGTAACATTAGTTTCTGCGGTGACTAGGTTGTTATTAAAAAGAGGGAACTCAGAAAGGATAACAAACGTCCCAGATTTTTGAGACGAGAGGCAGGCAAAAACCTTTTATTGCAAACTTGAATTCTTTCTGGTCTAATCCTAGTCAAAAGGACCAAGATTGCATTTTTATAAGTACAAATCCTTTGTAGAAAAGTTTTGAGTCCACTTGTAACCAGAAAAGGGGCACATTGCTTCGTTACTGATTAAGTAAAGGCTTTTTCGTTCAAAAACTAATTTCAAGTCTAGTAGTCAGGTGGAACCAATTATGACACAGTGAAGCGTGTAATTAGTGAACCTGGATGGAATGATTCAACCGAATTGGTTTTAATGGACTGTTTTCGTCTTTCGAATGTCTCCGAACGTCATTAATAAGCTCCGATTTAAGAAATTAAGGGATGTTTATCAAAAAACAATTTTCCACTTTTTGCGCCATTCTTTTTTAGCTGGAAATTGGCAATAAGCTCTCAATCAATCCTACATACTGAACATCAGTTACGATGGCAATATTTTAAACTAGCATACAACTGGAAAAGTTGATAGAAATGCGTTAATATTATTTGATTAATTAAAATTTAAAAAAACCACAAGTAAGACCATCAGTTCACTGTCTCGTAAAGCAGATTATTGAAAAACACCCATTTGACGGAAAAAAAGTATTTTTAAACATGACTGTAGCCTAATCCAAATCAATTGGCTATTAAGTATGCGCGATTAGTCTTGTATTCTTTTAAGACCATCTGAGTAGTTTGAAAATTGTGTATTTATTTTAAAGAGTCACCTTAATCCTTGATAATTCTTTCATTGCTCCTACAAGTTTATTTTGAAATTATAGTTTCCACATGTTCTCCTATTTTTATTATCGAATTTATGGTACACGTGAACTCGACCTCGTTTGTAAGATTTGCGTTTCAGTCTCTCGAGTAGCCTTTGTTCCAGGAAATTGCAATATGGAATTGCTTTTCTAATGTTTCATATCCATAAGAGCTTATTCCTTGGTTGTAGTGGCCACCGTTGATGTTTGCTGGGAAACAATTGGGCGCCATAATGATCAGACTTACAGTTTATTTTAAATCTAATATTAACTTGTAGCAACAATGGTACCAGTGTGGGTTGGAATTATTGACGTATAATGGGAAGCGCACCTTTAAGTCCTACTTTCCTTCCCTGATCCTCCTTTTGCAGTCCCTAAATCTGATGTGGTCCGGAATGATGAAAACTGCACAAAAACGGAGGTCACAGCACTCTGCATTCTTCCGATTCCTTCAATTGGTAGCTTTACTTTTTTGTTAGTTTACGTTCGCTGTGTGATTTTTAGTAAAACTGCAATGTTTAAAACTTAATTGTATACTCAACATATTCTCCAACACTTCCTGTCATTGTCTCCCAACTTATGCGAACATTTGAATGCATACTTTGGAGAAGCTGTGTAGGTACTGTTTATACAAAGACGTAAAGAAGTTTAAGAATATTCTGTGGAACCAATTTTTTGCCGTTCAAGTTACCCAGCGGAAAACAAAAGGTGGCACTGGAGGATCTTCAGCATTAAAGCCCTAAGTTTTGCAGTGTCTGTTGGGCGACATGAAGTCTTGCGTTTTTAAAGTGAAAATAAAGCTTTTCCATCAGCCAAGTTCAAATGTTTGGCTTGGGCTTCAACATCGAGTTAGGCGGGTTTCGCACAATGCTTCCCCACGGGTATCTTTGGGTGCGTGAAAGAAGGCCACAACAACTGTTTCTCCCCAATTCCCCACCAGACACTTGAAGCGGCCTTTACATTGGATGCAGCATTACAGTCCTTGAAGATTCGGCTCTTTCAGTTACTTTTCCTAAGTGCTTTGTTATGCATAAACAATTTTATCATATGTATGACCTAATTCTGATTAGATTCATTTTTTGAACGCTTATGTAAAAAAGTGTGAGAAAAAATGATTCTATTTGCCATTTCTGCCAAACTTTTCAGGGTTTAAATGGTGAAGTGCAGCCAAAGCATCAACACTTGGTCTCTCAGCAATCTCTTCAGAGGTAATCTACGCATTATCGTTGACACAAACACGAATAATGTTATTATCAAAGTGCGAGGGTTATCCAGAGACAAGTTTATTGTTAAGATTGAGGTCACCATGTATAAATACAGAACAATTTCCCTAATGAGAGAGATTGGAGCTAGTCACACCAGGAATGTAGGAAGGGTTAATTTCAAACAAACACGCAATAAATCGATTCAATTTTGGTGTTTGGGACCAGACATCAAGGGGACAAACCAAAATTTTCAATAAAATTGCGGCAGAAAAATATATGCTTTTGGCTGTAACGACCCTGGGAAAAGATGAAATGACACTCGCGTTATCTTTTTATGTATTTTTGAAAAATGATAGTAGTTCGAAATTTTTATCAACAAAGCCATGTACCATCTGAATACCTTCATTTTATCAGATCAAATATGCTTTCTGTGCATTCTGAAGTGATCAGATAACGGATTCAACTCGTTCACACTCCATGCACGCACCCTTCCCCCTGCAAAACCCCTGTGTCATTTGCTCTATTCAAACGGCAATAAATCCCAAACAAGTGTGCAACTGCATCTCTTTCCAACGCTTAAAATCTCTATGAAATCCGTTAGACAACGGCACAAAGCAAAGATTTATCTTACAACAAATACTAGTGGACACTCTGCGAATTAGCTTTTTAGGAAACAATGCATTATCGCCTAATTCCATGTCGAAACTAGATCCAGCAAGGTCCTGCAAAGCGAGAACCAAAATAGTCATTTTGCTAAATACCTGTGTCTAATAAATTCCTTTATCAGAAACGATTTATATTTCCTTTATAGTTTGACCATGGTCTAATTCAATTGGCACCAGCTAGAGTAATCACAGCTTGCAAAGGTGAAAAAATTGTTAATTGATAGCTTTTACTACTTTAAAACACAATTTCACTCAGACAAAGGTAAGTTGTGTGGTATGGAGAATACGCCGCAATAATAACTTAAGCATCATTGTTTTAAATCAAAATAACCCACAAACATTTTTAACAAATATTTGTTAAAATTATTTGAGTGCACAACAGTGCGATTTCTAATTTCGCTTTACATATGTGAGCTTAGCCAATCTGTAAATTGACTTGCGATCTATTGATCCAATAAATCGATAAATACATCCATGCGTTTCTAAACGCTTAATTGCATGTGAGCGCAAACTATAACTGATTTCTTAATGTTGGGCTATAGAGAATAACGGAATAGTAAACATATTTCTGACTCTTGAAGTGTCTACTCTCTACAGGAAGAAATAATTGAAAATTGAGACAAGTTTCAGACATATTAGGCGTTTTTTCATACAACTGAAAGTAACTGTGAAGAGTGATCTTTTGTTTCTGTTCAGGACAAAAGTCAGTAATCTAATTATGCGGAAATTTCGGGAGCTGTTTAGGACCGATTTAAGCATTTTATAGATCCCCATAGATTTTGCCATTAGCGGTGAATGGCTTAATTAGAGCATGTTAAATTGCTCTTGCGCCAAAACGTGTGTATTATATTTTAGCTCATCATATGTTGTAAAAAACACTTGACTATTCCTCCAATACACGAAAAATATGACATTGGTAAATGAATCCAAACTAAATTGTCAACTTACTGGTAATAACATCGTCATCGATTACAGGACTGTATCCTGGCGGGCCCCTCGGACCAGCCGGTCCCCTGAGGCCCCTTGGACCTTGAGGACCCCTTGCCGCGCGAACAGGAATGCGAATCTTCCTCACTCTACCCACAGACTCATTTCTACTTTGAGGAGCCTGGGGAAACTGCGGGGCTGTGCATTCTACCTGCAGGTGGCATTCGGTCAATGAACCCTGTGGGTTTATTATCTCCTTTTCAGGGGCTCCTGTCACCTCCTCGAAATTGACGACGAAAAAAAATGCGACAATAATAAGATGGAGATACACCAGGCGCCACTTCATGCTTGTGCTCTCGTAGCTGTGCGACAGTGGTCTGAGTTTTGCAGCGTCTTGAACACTGTTTCGCACCCCATGATTGGTTGGTTGTCAATCGCCTCACATTTGGATTGGCGCGCCTCATGCCATGATGCGGGCTAGCCCTAATGAGGCGTCGGAGCCAAAAGTGCATCTACATTCATGGAAGGGATCGTGAAAAAAAGTATTCCAACTTCTAGAACGTGCTTATTTTCGTAGACATCAGTCTTTCTAAACAGATTACACCAAGGTACTTGTATCGGTTTGGCAAGTATTAATAAAGAACCAATGTAAAAAATAACATTGAGCTACCGATATTAGTGACTTCAATAATATTGCTCAACAGTTTCTAATGTAAAAAATATCAAATGTTGCATCTCTCACTCGATGATACAGCTTTTAAATTATGCTCATTTTCTATATTTGGATGAAGGAATTCAAAAATTTGCCGTAAACTAAAGTTGTGTCGTTACTTAAAAGTCGGAAATAATCATAATCTGAAGGATGTTCCTGCATTTGAAAAATTTGCTATTTAAAATCCTGCTTTTGAAGGCATCTATCTGTTTTAAAATTTGCTGTAATGTTGCTGACTTTTCTCTTTTTTAATGATGGAACTCAAACAGGTTAATTCGATTCCTGAAGAGAATTAGATGTAAGGCTTGTTTCAAGCGGTCGCCAACGCGACTGCTCTGACCTTTCCTGCGTCTTATGTAACGGTTTTGGCGCTGAGTTGTCGCATTAAAAGCAATATGTTTTCGCTAGCTTAAAAATTCTGAAGATGATTGATCAAGATTTTGTGACAAATCATTTATAAATTGAACAGATTTATTTGCTCGATATATGCAGAGTTTATTGAAAGAAGTTCGATTTTTTCCAATACCATAAGCCCACTTTACTAAGACCTCCACTTAAACCCAAAGATAATGCAGATAGTATAAGAATATACAAATCAAATTCAATTTCGTTTACTAAATTTTACCACGAGTAAACACTAAACAATACCTTGTGTCGCTTAATACGAATCTACCAATTTTATAACGAATTTTCAGAAAAAAGAGTACTACTATTACTTTGAATATGATCCATGCTAACAAAGGTGTTAAAAGTGCCTAAGTTTGCAAGACAAACATGCTTTTAAGTTTGGCAGCCAGTTTAATATAAAATCAGTTAACAGTAAGTTTTGCAAGCTTTCAGAATTACCGTGATTCTCATTAGCGTGATATTCAAGTTTGCCTAAAGCGAAAAGGAGGAAAACTTTTATAGCAGCTTATCTGGATATAAGTACACATATTTAAGGTGTTTTCGTTTTATAAAATTTTACATTCTCTGAGAGATGCTATGATTCTAGTAAACGTTTTAATTCCCCTTGAAAACGATCGAACAAAATTTTATTTCTTAACTTAGTGTTTTAAGTTGAGATACAATAATGGCGACAATTATCGATACTTCAAGTTCACAGACGAGGAATTTTCTTTTGTCAGGTTTTTGAACGACTAGAGAAAGTTCATATATTTTCACTTCTGCAATATAAATCTGCGCAGAGTGAATAAGCTGACGACATATACTCCTTTACAAAATAAAGTGCTGCAAGAATATTCATGACAGCGTTTTCATTTTGTCCAGTTTCAATCATTAAGCTAAATCCGATTGCCATTACTACTTACAGTCAAACTTCTTTAAGAATTTAGAGATCAATTGTAATAGATGATTCTATCAAACGTTTAGTCCCCAAAGGAGCAAATGTCTTTGACTACCTTTCACCACTCTCCAAGTTTTATGTCTCTTTAAAATCATGCAACAAGCTGACTTGATGAATGCTTTTACGTTACGTAGTTTAGAATTATTCAAGTACCTAAATTTATTCAAGCTAGCAAACCCTTCCAAACTTTTAAATCATTTTTGACATTTTTTATTTAATTTTGCTATTGATGGTGAACTGAAACCGGCTCTAGGATTTAATCACCAATTCCCAGTAACACTTAAAAATCTAACTTTCGTTTTTCATGAATTTTTTTTCAAAATGGCAGCCACTCAAAATGTTTGTTTAAGTTTGCAAAAGGAAAATCTGTGCCCGTTCAAGTGCATTTTTAGGCAGCCATTACGAAAACAACAGTCTAATTTTTTTGGTTGGACGTTGCCGGTAAATCATAAAACATGCTTAGCACAATGTATGTTTAAACTTATGTTAACACTATGGTTCTGTATCTGATTTTAATTAAGGCTTTTTTACATCTTTAGCCCTTTACGTCCTTTATTTTCTTAACATTGCAAAAGTACTTCTCCTGTGATAAGCGATATCATAAGCTAAAGGACTTTCTGTCACCACATGCTCCGTTACCTTCCAAGCCTTGTTAAAGACTCCCTTTTAAGTTCGCACTTCGATCATACCCAGTTAAAGGTGATAATCTATTTCTGGTCGCGGTATAAATTTTTTCGCAACAGACCTCTGGGTTTGTTTTGGACTGCATAAGGGTGACGTTTCGTCGCCTTATTTTTCTTTTGCAAACTTCAACGGAAAAGTGTTTTCCAAATGCCATAAATTTTTGCTGCAAATTTATGTTCGCCCCTAAAATTGATTCCAATGGCAATGTTTGGTCAAGCACTTTTATTTCCCATGTGGTTGCCGTAAGTTGCAAATAGTTAAGTCAGGAATGAAAATTGGTGAAATAAATCTATAGGTGGCCCCCCAAGTAGTACCCATTGAATTCAAAACTTTTGGCAGATTCTGAGAGAGGTTGCTTGGAATTATTCATTTGATTTTATCCCTTGCTGCCGACTCTGGGCATATCTAAAAATACCTCTCAGTTAATGGGGCATTGTCTTTCATATAATCAAAGTTACAAATAGCCTAAGAAGTCACTATTAAGTAGTCTATAGAGCAGCCAGTAGGATTACTTATGCATTTGGTAGATCCAGCCACAATTTTGCTCCTGGAGAAACCCTTTTAGAATTAGACCACCCCTCCATTTCTAAATTGTTCTGCTGAATTCCATTACGAAATAAAAACTACACCTTGTTAATTCATGGCGATAATCGGAAGCGTACTATCTGGAACGACTGTCTTGCATTTGTTAAAAATTTAATGACTTAAAAACACCATTTTTCACATCCATGTCTTTTTAGTCAACCGATTGGAAAGTCATCCCAAGAAATCCTCATGCCGATGTGACATAGTGGAAAAAAGTAAAAAAAGATCTTCAAAGACTGTAAAACGCTACATCGACTCCCTTCAATTCACACTTTGGAAGGCCAAGGCCGTAGCTTTTATCATGCATCAGAGGTGTCCGAAATCCGGCTTAGGCTGTGACAGATTTCCAGTAATTCGAACATGCAAAATACCAATTAATCAAATTTGGACAACAAAAGCGCCAGGAAAGTCATTTGCGTTGGGAAATAAAATTAGAAGAAAGGCGCACAGACAACATTGGCCAAAATTTGCTACCTCATTTACTAAGATTCAAAATCTTTTGTGAATCTAATGTTCACGTTAGGCCTCGAAGTCAGTATATGATGTATTGTGCGCCATTTTTAAGGTCGAATCTTGAAGTATTAGATACGTTCCTTGAATCTTCTCTTCCGAAAGATATCTTGAATCTGTTGTTGCTCCATTACCTTGAAAAATGAAATATCTGAATCACAGATGCGTCTGTCATACATTAACTAGCTGCAAACTGGTAAATTGAATGAAAAAGGTGTCTGTGAAAAAAAGATATGGGCAATTTCTAATTTTCGAATTAAGTGCCGAAAAACAATGCATCAACCAACTACAAATAACAAGATCCTGTTTTTGTCTTTTTGGTGTTCACTTAAACGAGTTCATCAGAAAGCTAACGGACGCCTTTATTAGTGTGAAAGCAATCGACCTTATCGCTAATGTTTAATGATTGCAATTATGGAACAGGGATTGGTAATTTGTAACGATTTCTGCCAGCTTGCATGTTTGCATCTTTAGATGTGATTTTCCTTATCCAATTAATTTTCCTTCTACTCAGAACAGGACTAAAATCGATTTACCCATAAAAGTTGTTTTAGGGGTGTTCAGCTCTAGACCATAGATGCGATTAAAAATGGATAATTCTTAAGAAACCATTCTACCCTGGGACCGCAACTATCGTTTATTTCAATTCTCTTTTATTAAGCTCAACAATGTGATATAATGACTATTTACAACGCCAGTTAATCCAGAAACCCATTTGTTTTCCATTAAAATTAAAAATTCACCCCTTCGAGAAAGTCACGGTTCCTCCAAAATACATAAATCACTACCGAATCCGTGTTGATTTTTTTCCAAATAGATTGCATGTTGCAAGAAGAAAAAAAGTTGAAATGAAGTTTCCCCTTAGAATGAAAAACCGACTACACGACGACACAACTGCTGGTTGATGTTTTTTGTAGAATGTTGGTTCAATCATGCTCAAGGTATGGTAAGGCTAATTCCCCCAATTTCTACCACTTAGCTGAGTCTAAATCTAAATACGTAGGTAAAGTGGTGTATTGTACTAGTTTGGTTAACTTCTTAATGCATGCCATCCCGTAGAAAAATCGTGGATCCATTATAAACCGTTCGAGGGATTTGTTTACTCCTATTTGGAATACGAAAATATCTCAAATGGGTACAAGCTTTTAAACCTATGAAATTGAACACTTTTCTCGAATGTAGAAGGGGCTTCTTTGTGCTTTACTTGAAATTAGCAGTTTGCAATTAAAGTCACACACTGGTCACACTTGCCTGAAATTTGCCGTGGGTGAATTTGTGGATTGATGCTGTCTCAATATAAAGCTAGAGGTTATTACTTTATTTATTATTAAGTATGTGTCCGGCAAATTGCTTAGTACCAATTATATTGACAAACAACTCACCATTTTAGTCAAAATGACGGCAAATTGCAATCTTGCAACTGCTAAAATTGATTTGGGATATCTTGAATCACAAACATGACAAATTCGTAATTCAACTTCTGCCTGACTGTCGCATAAGGGCACGCTAA